AGAACCCCCCCCCCCCCCCCCAAGTGAAACAGGCTTACCGACATAGGGATTTTTTAGAAAATCAACACTTCCTAATCTGTGTCTTTCTTTCCATAAATCATGTCTGTCCAAGCAGGCTGAGTCGTCTGCTAAGCTACCTGCCTTTTGATTGCAAATATTTTCCTATGATAGTAGCACCGTGATTCTGCGGCATAATGGAGAAACAGTTTTAATTCACGGATGCTGTAGATATATGCAGGTACTCAGAAGGCTGCGTAACCAAAGAATTAAAGTTAAAACAGGGTGGGGGGAGAAAAAGACAGCCAGTCTATTAGTAAATATATGGGGAAGTGACACATTTATAATAAATACGCACTCTATAGACTACCCAGACACAGATTTCACGAGCACTACCCTCAGTTATGAAGCACACTTCATAAGATAAATGCAAAGAGCTATCACCAATCTTTCTAAATCTTAAATATTATTCAAATTTGGTTTCCACTATGGCATATTAACAAAATATTTACCTTGCCTAATCGCTGATGTTCTTCAAAAGCAGAAATCAGTTCTTGTGCCCACTTTATTTTTTCAGGGCTGGGAGAGAACTGTTCCTGGACAACAGCAATTTGGTTGGGGTGAATCACCTGCTTACCTACAAAGAAGATTAATAACACCAGAATCATGCATCGACAAACAGATGTTCAAGCAAAATGTTCCAACCACTTGAGGCTCTCATATGCCTCGCAGACTTTCTTGCTCTTTAACTAATTATTTTACTTGGTTTCTTTTATTTTTTAAACTGGACAAGAGGCAGATAGTCTTTTACCAGATTTTTTTAAGAATAAAGCTATGCTTGCATTTGGTATAGTTTGTAAGAACCCAGGATTCTTTCTCCTCCCTCCCCATTTCAATCCATGCATCTTCTCTTGGTCACTTCAGGTGCAATTGCTTGTCTGGGGCAGTCAATAACACTTCAGTATAATGCATCTCTGAATTTATCTACATAAATAACAGCTCCAGCCACTCTTAAATAAGTTGTATTAAAATGCATTTGGAAAATGCGATCTGAAGAAAATTGCAAGAGATGTGTAGGACTGAAAAGTTTACCAATCACCTAAGGATCATGCCCTGAATTCTCAGTATTGGCTTAGCATCATAAAATCCCCAATGTTGCTTAAATCGTTCTTGTTGCAATCGTTAGCAGTTGCAGGTAGGTTGCAATATTTATTTAGCCACCAGTATATTAAACAACTACCAGCAGTGCCCTGAGGTTTTATGAAGCACTTTTTTTTTTTATCCTTCTTATGTAAACGTACGTTAAGAAAATAAAAACAGACGTTGCCTTTTTTTGCTGGAGATTTTCAAACGTGAATAGACAGCCACATAATCCGTTTTAATCTGTTATTGTGTTTGGCTACCTTAAAACAAATACATATCTAATTTGTTTGCCAGTTTTTAGGAGCGTAACATTTGACATTATTAGTTCATTTCTAAGGGAATTTCACAGACTGGTGCGATTTCTGCACTTTGGTTTCAAAGTCTTTTAATAAAGAGAGGCTACCGCAATTCCCAGCTTCCCGTGGAATAAATGACTCTCCTCCGTGCCGGATAACAAAACTAACTCAGGAGATGAGCCTGATCCTGCAAACCTGCCGTCAAGTGAGCAGTCCCCTGCAGACGGAGGGTCCCACAGCCGTGCCGTCCTGCCGCACGCCGCAGCCTCTCGCGGGAGCGAGATTTTTGCACGCGAGGAAAATTTGAAGCGTCGGGACCTGAGGAGGTTTCCTGCGCACGACGGGGTCTGCTCCCCTGGGCTTACTGACACTAAGCCAGCCGTACGCTAGAAATCAGCCCGTCACCCGGTGCAAGAAGTCTCGTGCGTGACCGCAGAGATACACCTATTTTAAATTAAATTACCACTGCAAAAAAAAAGCAAACCCGGGACTACTTTGATCGGACTGTGGTGGGTCTGAGTGATAACCTGGAGTATAGACAAAACCTGGGGATCCAGCAGCACAATCTGCTTAATTTAATGAGCAAAGAAATAGTAATTTTTTAGCTTTTCTATGTTTCTTTGCTAAAAACCCAGAAGTAGCACAATTTTATTTTATTTCCCATTAAACAACCTCTAGTTTACAATCTTATGGGCATCCAAATACTCAGTTTTAAATTTCAATGTCGTAACTAGTTAAAAAATAGCTTAAAAATGAGTAAAAGCTTAAAACTCAGCGAGAACTATATTTTTTCAAAGAAATTGCATGGAGACAAATTTTCTTAACTAATGAGTTTTGCATTAGGTCAAATCAAAGGTTTTTTAGTCAATTTAATCAAATGTCACCATTAATAAGATTATGGTGTTCCTTATTTGTAATGCAACAAATTCTCCCCAGCTAAACTGCCAATTCTAAAATGGAAGGGTGTACAAATAATTCCTACAAAATCCTAAGGCCCTTAGCTTTCTGGGAATAATGTAGAATATATTTTAAATTATATTTAAAGTCACTCTATAATTATAACAAAAATAAAAATATTTATATAAGATTTTTTAAAGTGTAAAACATTTCTGTAAAAAGATTTGCTTTTGACAAAGGTATCTGTAGCAGTAAGCTATACTTTTTGTCATTAAAACACCACTGAACAATTGCTAGAGAATATAATCTAACTTTTGATTTATAGCACTCGCTTGATTTTTATCACAGATTACATATCCAAATAACTGTATACCAGACGTAATGCCATGCAGGAATGAAGCAAATATTTTAAACAGAATTGTTGTTATTGACAAGTTACTGAGAGAGTGAAAAATTGGAAGACATTAAAATTTATGACCATGAAATCCTTTTTACAGTACTACTTGATATATCGTGCTTTAAATCAATACCTGTCAAGTCTTTTAGGTAACTGTATGATGGTGTCATTTTAGTCTTCCACAAAAGACTGCAAAAAGAGAGGAAACCTATAGTGTTTCGTATTTATATCTGGCTTCTCAGCATGTAGCACAGGAGTTTCTATAACGACTAAGTCAGCTGTTAACGCTTATGGCAAGGTTTACTTAATTTTTTACATAAACATTCCTAAAACTGATGACCAGTTATATAGGCAACACACTGACTTTAAGTCCATGGGTTCTGGTATTGTAAAACGTCTTGCTGTGTGTGTATATATATATACACATATACACACACACACACACCCGCCCTCCAATATAAATCTAAAAATATATATAAAAAATACACATAAAAGATCTATTAATTTGGCTAAATTACATTTGAAACATTTGATTTTATGTAAAGACAGTGAAGGAAAAACAGGCTGCTTTTAAGGTAACTGGGAAAGAAAGCTTGGCTACAATAAGCAAGGAGGGCTCCAGCAGTAACTACATAGCTGGTAAATTCGCCGTTATATTATTTCGCTTGTTTAATCTTGAATGAACGTATTTGATTACACTAAGGCAAATTCTACCGGTCTAAATCTGAATATGGAAAAATCTAAGGACGTACAACTTTGCTGAATATTTCGGATTTGCATTAGTTTTGAGGGTGGTGAATTTGGCCCTGTGCCTGCAAAGAAGTGGGTGTTTTCTCCAGCTAAGAGAGCAGTTCGGAAGCCTCAGCTTGTTTTAGTCCTGTTGATTTAAATGATTTTGATTCTCTGGGAAAAAAGTAGCAGGAAGGGATCTTAAATGTTGAAAAATAACAAGAATCGTGTGTTTTGAACTTGTTATTAAGGCGACATTTCAGTATTTTACTCTCACGTTATCAGAGGACTGTCAGTGGCAAATACGATCTGCAGGCTTCTGCTTTATACAAGGTCGTGGATTAAGCTAAGACCCATTTGTAATTTTCTGTGATGAATATTAAATTGGAAATGTTAAAATGTTTCATTTATATAGTTTTGGAACGAAATGTCTTTGCTTTCAGTTTTGAAATGACATTTTATTTTAATCAAAACAAGCAAGAAATATTAGAAAAACATTAGATAGATTGAAAGTGAAAGAAACAAAAGAGCAAGTGAAACATTTTGGAAAGACCTCAAATATTTTTTTCTTTTTTATCAAAAATATGAAAAACAGTGTTTTTTATTGACCTAACCAGATTTTTACTTTTTTTTTTTTTTTTTGGCCACCAAGTCAGAAAAGTCACTATTGCCCCGTCTCTAATTATGGTTGGACTGGTTGTCAGGCTGTTTTCTGGATTTCGGAAATGCGTTGATGATAGTTGCGGGAAGGCAGGAGGCAAAGAGTGGGAGCTGTGAGTTCACCCTAATGAAGTCTGTACCTTTTACAGTTCTTTACTCCTCGTACAGAAAGGCAAGGCGCCTCTATGACCGAGTTAGAAATTCACTTTACGCCTTAAATTGCCACACGTGACCTTTTTATTTGTCTCCTATCTGGACCCTACCCTGATGTCAGCCAACTTCCACTGTAAACTCAGTGGAGTCCAAACCACCATTAACATTGTTTATGCTGAGCGTTTCTAAATTTCCTAAACTGGCAGCCCGAGTTAAGTATTTAAATACACATTAAGCGTTCACAAAGAGTGCTGTCAAAGGTGCGAGGCATCTGCAACTCCATCTTCTGTCAACAGGAGGTTGAGATGCTTAAGTTTTTTCAAAAATCCAGCCTTTCCTTAAGCTAGGAAATATTGTTCAAGATTAGGTAGCCATCAGCAGGTGCTACCATTCAGGAGCTCTATTATTTTCCCAACTTCAATTGCAGATGAATAAAGGGTGGAAGTCCACATGGACATGGATAATGTAGCCGTGAGGAGTGAACCATTTTGCCTCTGAAACAAGATCTGGTTTTGCAAATGTTGGAGCTCAACAGACAGTAAGGCAGAGTTTGTGCTGAAGAGCATCGCTTGCTATTCTTTCACTGGCACATTGAGATCACTTAAAAGAACGCTTGTTTTTTTGCTTGGTGCTTTAAGATATCACATACCGCTAACTGTAAAAATATAGTTTGCTGGATGGCATCACCAGGACCCATGCCTTTGGTAACAAAAACCTGAGAGAAGTACTATGACCGTACGTATATCCTGAATGAGGGCCAGAGACAAATAATGTAAAACGTTCGTCCTATATGCTAGAATTCCATAGTGCATGTGTCAAATGGCTGATTCCTATTGCAAACCCCCAATCTTTGGTGGCTGCGCTGTCCTGCCAGGGTGTCCGAGTGATGTGGCACACCGGTCACAGGGCCACAGGACTCTGGGGCAAGGAGCCTGCTGCTCCTGCTGTCCACCAATACCCGTAGGTGTCACCAGCACTTACTGGGAGGGAAGCCAGGAGATGACGAAAACAAATCAAAGAAAATAATAAGAAAATAACTTTCCCCTAGCAGTTAGTGTAGGAGATTTGCTCCTCAACTGCTTCACCCAAAAAGTATTTTTTAACAACTGCCGTTTAAATAAAATAGGAGATAGGGAACCACATATTTTAAGAAGCAATTGTAGAGTGGTCACCGCAGAGTACAGCATCGCCTTTCCCGTGCTCGGCGATGGGAGGAATCACTGCACAGCCTCTACCCCAACTTCTCTTCAAAACCAGTCACACGCTTCATGGGATGTGGTGTTAAAAAGCAGCATGTGACTTTTCAGGCAAAATCTCCAGCCCCAATTTTAAAGGTGCTAATAAACCTAGAAAAGCTTGATATTACTGAGTTTTTCGATAAATGACCTGAACTAAACCCCAAGTTATTTGGCTAGGTGACAGCAAATGTAGCAATATGTTTAAACTGAAGAAATGATGCATTATTTTGAGACATCGGCAGAAAGCCATACCAGTGAATCCCATTGAGGCACCTTCTCTTGATTGCCTGCGGAGCCCATCTTCATCTCGGAAATCGATGTAAACAAGGTCTATTGCTTGAAGGCCAAATGCCTTTGCTGTGACTATTATTTTTTGCCTGGCATACAGAATATCGTGAGTTTCCTTACTGCTTGTTGCACCTACGAAAACAATGAAAACAAAGAAAAGCTGACAAAGTGGTTTAAACCTTTCTATTTTAAATATTTCCTATGTTAAAAAAGGCAAGTTTGAGATTTCATTTAACTAGTTTAGAAAACAAAAGAGGAGTGCAAGGCTATATTGTCAAAACGCTACTCTTCTGAGAAAAAAAAAAAAGCTGCTTTAGCAAAAAAAACCCAACCCCCTCTCTTTAAACACTAGCCTATAAAGTTCAGATATTGATTTAGCTCAGATCAGAAGTTGTAAGCCCTGAGTCAGTGGAAGCTTTGGCTGGTAAGGACTGCTGACTTGGGATTAACACGAAGTAGTTATTTGATTATATTATTTACTGTATGTACAGTGAGAAGCATTCCAGCAAGAAAAGCTTTACACAAATTGATACAATGGGTACAACTAAATGGTTAAAAATTCACACTGACAGTAGAATTGCACTTTCTTTGGTTCTGATTCTTGTCACAACTGATGTCCTAAGCTGAATATTTAAGCTTTAGTATTTGGATGAAAAAAATGACGGTAGATGACTTCTGAGAAGAAGCAAATGCATTCACGAGACTTCATGGGCTCACAGGGCACCAGCTAAGCAATGTGCTCATGTGAAGGCTGGTGTGAAAAAAAAAAAAAAAATAAAAAAAAATTTGTTCCCTTTCCTTAGGGTCACTGTTGAGTCACAGATTTCCAGTTTGTAAGGAATATTTCAGTAAAGCAATGCTAATTTTTACATTAACGTACTTAGTTTTGATTTAAGTGTTGATAGCTCTGCGCTTTTATCTTTAAGCTGAATCAGATTAATAAGAAGCTAAAAGTGGCCTCTCACAAAAGAAATCGTGAAATACTTTGTATTTTTGAGGACGGCTTTCACATGATTACGTGTCTGCATTGACACAGGACATATTTAAAGTAAATTTATGAAAGCAAAATGTAGCAGGAGAGTATTTGTGCCTGATGTCAAAAGCCTGACTGATAATTGTCTGTAAAACACTGATGAAGCAGACACCAGAATTTTAGGACTTTAAATGTAGTTCTTAAAAGCATGTACATGTTTCTTATGGATATCATATTTTCAAATAATTTCAGTGACTCAACAGGTTTTGGTTTTTTTTTTTTTTTCCCATTAATTTTTGGTACTGCATGGCCAGAAGAACAAGAAAGTGCCAGTGCCCTGTAACACACAGGGACGACGTTTTAATTTGCCAGTGATACATTCTGCCTTGAAAAAAATTAAGGAGACAAGTGAAAATGTAAAATGCAGAATCAAGTGTTGTCATTGCTGTAATTATTGCTGTCAGAAAAGCAATGGCCATAAATCACATCGGGCTTCTCCGACGTAAATGCCGTACGTTAACATTTATAGTAAACAGACAGGTAACAACCTATGCTGGCACGGAAATCCTCGCCTCCAAAGACGACTGCGTCCAAATGAAAGCCAGCCCCGGATCCTGTTCTTACTGCTTCTTCACAGACAGCCTTCGAATGAGAACAGAGTATTAATTTCTACAGACATGCAGGACACAGAGAGACTACAGCGGCTATTACAGCAGCTCAGTCTTACCAAAATCCTTTGGCTAAAACCACTCCTATGAAGCAAAGCCATCGTAGGTGCTCAAAGTGCGCAGTGCTTTAAAGTGACTCAGCAAAAGAGAAAACGTTCTCTTCCACTAAGCACCTATATGCCTAGCTGGTATAAATACAGGACATTGTAGCGGATTCCCTGCCTTCTGGTTGAGAAAATGCCCTGGGTATGACTGTATACACTGACTGTATATACTTCTGTATATACTTCTGTATATACTGACTGGATATACTTCTGTATATACTTCCAGATATTTATGTAACAATAAGAAACAAAACATTTGTCAAGCACTGCTTAAAAGCAAACTAAAAGTATTAAATTTGATTACTTTGACATGCGATATATCTAAGGAGAAACAGAAATAACGATCAGAGTATCTGTTATTAAATAAAGAATGTGAAGAGTTTAAAACGGTCGTGGATTCCTTGTAGGAGATAAGGATTCCTTATAGGATTGCCAAATTAAAGCCTTCTGTTACATATAACTAAAAAGGAGCTAAGGAAGTTAAAAATGCAACAAGTGCTGCAGAAAAGTATTAAAATAAAAGCAAGAAAAATGTTGCTGCTGTAGCTATTCTGTGAAGAAGTGCATTTCCAAAATATTGCTACTTTATATCGACGTTTGGATAATATTAATATTTTTTAAGGCTAACGTGTGCAGAGAAAGGCAGATGCAATTACAAGCTCTACTGGTGGGTGTTCTTCTATGGCAGCTTATTCTTAACCAGAGTGCTTTAAAAGGCAACTCTCCTGCCAACAGCAGGAACTGCAATATTAAAAATTCCTCTATAAAATACTGTATGTGAAGAAAAACCTCAGCCAGTTTAAAATACGATTTAATTCCGTGTATGCACACCAGACAGGAGCGTGTCTATTTGGTTACTGCTTTATTATGTTCCCAAATATGCTAGCGTGTGTTGTAAGATAAATGGCTGTATCAAACGCGCGGGCTGCCCGTGAGGGCTGCCGGTACTTCTGGAGGGGCTTCTGATGTGTGCGTCCTCAGCTGGTCCGAAACTTTTTCCCTTAGAGCTTGGGAGGGGAATGCTGAATTCCTGGTGCAAGCACCAGATCTCCCGTTTCATTACCCCACTGCCTGGCCTTTCTGAAAAACCTGGACTTGACAGTAAAGGTGGGGGAGCAATTTCTATTAAAATGCACTTTGGAAAAAAGGTTTGATCTAAAATTACCCTAAAAAAGGAGCACGTTCTTCACATATTTGCTATTTTCAAAGTTAATTACACTTCTAATCTTAGCATTAAGCACCCCATCATACACACAGAAAAACGGTAACATGAAATTTGGTTGTAATGTTACCAGTAAGAAACCATTATAAAGATGCCAGTTTAACAATAGTGAAATGATGATTAATTCTTTTTTCTAATTAAATATTATACAGAAGTCGAGGTCGATAGCTACTGAATAGCCAAGTGTATTGCAACACTGTGAATACTTCAGATCTTCGGAGAAGTATGCGTCCACACCAAGGGTGTTCAAAACGATAAGAGTAATGCAGAGAGGTTTTTTTATTTGGCATGGGCTGCCTGGAACTGTTCTGTCACTGAAATACTTTGAATTTCTGAAGGTCTTTATAATACAAACATGAGAGTTAAACATACAGAAGTTTGGGGGGGATTGAAAAATATGTTTATTATTTTTTAACCTCTCCTCAGTGATGAAATTAGGGGGAGACTGGGGAGTATTCTGCTCATCCTAGTTTCCTGAGGTGGCGAAATATGAACATTTCAAGACCTGCTTACCTTAAAATTGAGCAAGCCCACTGCAGTTTCCACAAAAGGGATAAAATTCATTGGTTCTACAAGTGTTCGGCCTTTTAGGTGATGCAAGAATTTGTCTGAAAACTAAAACTAGACAGTATGAGCTATCAGAGAGAGAGAGAGAAAAAAAAAAAGAACCATCTACATGTATAGGTAACACGTTAAATTTTCACCTGGCTGTGACAACACCCCTCCCCACCCCAAAAACTTATAATTAAAAAAATTAAACCAGCTTTTAACAAGGCCTGCGATTCAAAACTGCAGCGTTCCCATACATTTCTAAGTTTGGAGGCTGGTTTGCAAAAAAAAAAAAAAAAAAAAAAAAATCCAGGCTTAGCACCTCTCACCCTGGCTTAGTGAAATGCAAATCCACGGGCCCTGGAAAACAATGAAGTGCCGCTGTACCTGAGGTCCGGTTTTGTTTCAGGTCCAGCACTGCCATCACTGGAAGTGCTCCCCAGCCTTCTAAGTGGCATCCGTATTATTCATTACGGCACCGTTACCCTTTTGTTCAATAGGCTTTTCTTCATAATTTTTTAGCTTACCTAGGAAGGCCTTAAAAAGGAAGTTTAATTCTTTGAAGACCAAAGCTTGCCAATTTTTTCCATGAGACCAGTTCACAGCTAGCTCTGAGCTGCCAGTGGGGTAGCCCAAATTCCAAAATCTATCATCTGGAAACATACAAAAGCTCTTGCACAGATTTTTCCCCTTTCAAAAGGGGGGAAAAAAAAAAAGAGGGGAAAAAACCCTATATTGTAAATCTATTATGTCTGTCCAGATCGAGTAATTTGCACGGAGATAAACATATCTCAGGTAGGGCAAAAATATGTTAGTAAATAAAGACAAAAATAACATATGCATATATTTTAAATTTAAGGAATATTCGACTATTAATGGATATCAAAGGAAAGGGAATTTTAATCATCTCTCCATTCAGTCTCAGTTGGGTAAATCATATCTAAGAGATTTGCATAAATATAAACCATCAAAGACTTTTCATCTTCAAAGGGGGTTTCAAGACCCTATAAGCTTTGTACTGTAATCATCGCAGGTCACAACCCTGCAGGAATAAGGCTGCTATGGCAACATAAAAAACTAATGCTTAAGGCTTAGCATAATATTCTGACTAATAGAAAGGAAACTCATTTTAAAAGCTGGCAGCCTATTTACCAGAAGCTGGATTAGAGGTGTTATTTCCCCTTTTAGCTTCCCCCCACTGCCCCTCCCCAAAAGAAGGAAAATCTAATCACCCAGATCTTGAAAAAAAGCTTTCCAGCAATTTGCAGTAACTTTACAATTAGGCCAAAATAAATCACAGCTTTCTTCGATGAAGAATTCTGCCCTTCCCATCCCTGCTTTGCATCGTCACTGCAGCCCCCTCAGTAACTTTTCTTTGGAGAAGAGAATGCCACCCAAAAAATGTGCAAGGAGAAAAAAAAAAAATCAATGCAATTCACAAGTGTGAGTGTACAGTATGGCAGGTACTACAGCAACAGAAAACAATAAACTTCATACAGGCAAATACAGAAAATGAGGTAATATAAAGGCATCAGCATGTATTCTTAAAACTCCTATCTGATTTCTATTTTTTTAAGTGAACAAAAAACTAAAAAGCACTACCATGTTTATCTTTTAGGGGCCAGCTAAAGCAGCAGAGCTCTTCTTTTATTTTAAAATATTGTAAAAGTCACCCTCCTGTGATTTTTTTCTATCTTTTGTTTTGAAGGGAAACAAAAAAAAGCACATTTAATTAAATATTGTCCCCCTTCCTCTTCCTTTTAAAAAAATTGCAATAAGCACCAATACAAAAGGTAACGAGTGGAGAAGTTTCAATTAATTTTTTTTTTTTTTTTCAAAAGGAGACGATTAAATGTTTCCGGCCTGGTAAAGTGTTCATTTCAGGGAGAAAGGGGGGGAAAAAAAAAAAAAAAGAAGGCGGAGGAAAAAAAAAACCCCACAAAGCTTGGGGAGGGGATGAAGTAGCAAGGCCTCAGCAATTCTTTCAATTCCAGTGCACACCCAATAGTGTGTCGGGAAGAATGCACACTGGTCGGGATTTGTGGGAGAATTGTCCCACCACAAAGGAGGGAGAGTTACGCTTGTTATAGTCCAATAAGCCATGCCAGTCAAACAAGTACCCACACTAGGGACAAAAGGAAAGCAAGAGATTCTCACACAAAAGAAAACAAGTAAGCCCATCTTTTAGTTGTGCATCAGCCTCCAGGTTTTCTGCTGCACATAAATAAAAATGAAGGGGGGGGGGGTATGGGGGTGGGGGAAATAAACAGCTTCTGGGAGGCTGAAAAAATCACGCCGGAGTGAATTTTGGGAGGATTAGGAAAAGAAGGCAGCGGCGTTGAGCAGAGCACGCTCTTTGTGTGCAAAGGTTGGGCAAAGTGAGAGGGAAGCAAAAGCAGACAAGGAGGCAGAAGTTGTTGGGGCTGGCTTGTTTTCCATGCTGGAAATCAAAGTCAGCGAGAGGGAAGGTGGAAGGGGATGAGGGGACAAAGATCCCCTCCATCCCACCTTCCCGCAAAACCTACTTGGTGGCAGCAAGGGCCCTGCCATTTTGGAAGCATGAATATTCATTACTGACAAGTTGCATCTAACACTTACATGGCTGTAAACCCTGAGAGGTATACTCCGGTTAATTTAATTAAATGTTGGTGGAAGGGGATGGTGTACTTTCCATCATGAGTGGCGGAGGCTGAAGGGGCAGTGCCACGGAACGGACGGGGCTCGTCACGTACCCAGCGTATTTGCTCAGTTGTACGCTCACGCCTGATCTTAACGGTTTGATCAAGGCTAGATGCTGAGATTAAAATAGATCCTAATACGTCCGCCTGCCTTTCATCACAGCTTGCACGTGTGCAAGTTGCTCGGCTAGCGGTTTGCAAAAATATAGAAGTGAATAATTAAGCATTAGTCCTTTACTGGCATGTTACAGAAATAATGGTATACCTAAACAAACGTCCTCCTTTTCTTGACAATTAAAACAATTATAGCATAATTAGGCCTATTTCAAAGTTTTCTTAAGTAATTTGACATGCCAACCATTTACATTTCAGGTTTTTATTGGCTGAAAAGTCAGTCGTGAAACACAAACACACCTGTCAGCAATTAAAAAGGAAGAAATAGAGAACTGTTCAGGAAATAATATCTGTGCTAATTAAAAACACTAGTTAAAAGCTTCCTGTTTGTTCCTCCAGTTGCCCCAAGGAGTGACCTTCCCCCCAACCCGTTTTTTCATATGTCGCTAACATGGTTTCCCCATCTCCTGCTTACAATGCATGTAACTAAGGCACACGGACGTAAACAGTCGTTTTGCGTGTTAGGGTTTTTTAGAAAAGAGACAGATATTTATGCCACTATTTTTTATAAGATACTCTGACACCAATATTGGTTCTTCATGGACCGCAGGAGAAATAAATCTGGTTTTCTTTATAAATGCAAGGTGTTTCACATATGCTTTTTGTATAGCACATCTTACACACGTTTAAACAGATGCATTTCCCAATTACCTTAGGCAAGCAATGACATTATATGGTATTTGCAGCCTTCCTCATAACTCAAGAGTCATTCATCGCTACGCCTGTGTGAACTTGGCCCAACAGCTTCGGTCAACAGCTACTGTGTTGTTGGTAAACAGGTAGCTACTCACCCATCTTATTTCTTCAACATTTTCAACCTTTGGCAGCATCATGCTTGAAGGAAGGGTCTTGGACTGCAAAAGCACCTCTAGATCTTCTTCTGCAAGACCACTGGACACGGAGTTTATCCTAACACACTTTTCAGCATGGCCAAAGTCAAACTCTTCAAGGGCTTTCACAACTGCCAGTCTTGCTTCTCTCTATGATATATATGTATTTAAAGGCACAAGAAAAGAAAAAGAAAGGTTATTTTCTATTGACAGGAAAGTGCGCTCACCAGAAAACTTGAAACAATGTGGGGAGAAAGCTAGACAGCCAGTATATTGGTGTCCCCAAAATGTCTGTCACTCCTGGACTTTTATTGAAGCTGTCATCATCAGCACCTCGCAATTTTACCCTCCTCATTTCTTTATAACTGATAAATAAAATGCTCCCATTTTATGTCTCAGGATTTCTACACCATCACTTGTAGAGAACATGACTTTTGTGTCCACTCTTGCTGAACGTGTCTGACAAACACAAATCTTTACATTAACCACAATGTGTTGCACTAACCGTCTGCACTCACAAAACCGGCATGTTAATAAACTTGCATAAAACAATTTATTTTTGTAATGAATCTCTATTTTGCCTGTGCTAAAATAGCATGGATGTCAGAAAGCACCAATGTACATATAGTTCTTTAGTTTTGTTATATAAATCTTCCTTTTCTCCATGTATCCAAAGTATATTAAAGCCCGTAGTAGAGTTGACAACTCGCATGTGAAAACAACACCAAAATAAGTTGTAGATTTTTCCTGAATTATGTAAAAAGCTATTCTCCTGCTGGCACAAAATAAAATCTCCCAAGCCATGTGCTTCCCGTGGCCATTTGCTATTTTTGTGAATGCAAATTTACAAATCTGTTTAATACTTGATTTGTATGAAGAATACTTGCATGCTTTTCTGAAATGAAACGTGTTTCTTGGCCTGGGGAAGAAGAGGGGAGGGAGACGGAGGGTGCTGGGCTCCCTGCTTCCCGCCAATAGCCGTTTCAACCCCAAATTCCTTCCAGTCGCCAACAGCCCCTAACAAATTCGCATTGTCAAAATGCACACTTATCAAAAGTCATTTCATTTGTGAAGAGTTTTTATGAGGCTAATAAAACTTTAAAGCTCCTGACTCACGGAGGTTCAGGAACGACTTTAACAATATGCAGTCGCTGAATAGAGATGCTTTTCAAGAAAACAGGCAAACTCAAGGGGAAAAAATAATAAAAAAAAAAGTCATCAAAGTTAATATCCAGGCTAATACCAATCAACAAGACAGCAGATGACAGTAGATTTAAACCAGACGGATGCAAGTCTCTGCCGGCGAGAGGCGCAGAGGCGGTTTCCCAATGTGGTCTGAGTTAAACCGTGTGGGGGAACAGTAGCTTACAGTTGTCAGGTCCGATCAGAACAGGGTCTCCCAGGCCAGTTTAAGACAGCTCTGCAGTGTACTGATTTACAGGGCTGAGACCCCTGATAATTAGGGTAAGTTTAGAGAAAAGCAAGTGATGGCTCTAACTGGTTAAAAGGAAGGAATAATGAAGCAGAGAGTTAATGAAATCTGAAGCAAGCAGCCTTCGGCTTGGGGCTACTAGCCGTGCTCCTCCGAAGGCTGGGAGCATATGCCCGTTAATGGGACAGACAGGAACAAGGCGCACATGCACGCGTCCCTGTGCTGCGATCAAGGGGCACGTTCAGAGGTAATCTCTGGAAAATACAATCCGAAATGTTCGAACTGCTGTGAATGGACTCTGGCTGGGGCCATTAGGAAAGCCACACAAAGATGCATGCAGTTTACTACAAACACGTCCAGCTGGAAGACAGCTCCGGCACACAGCCGTCTGAAATGGTTCTTCCGAATTAGGTAAACCGAACCATATGATGCCATTACTGGGTAATACATATCCCCTATGTTTTCCTTCTCCAACCAGGGGTAACAGGTTTCTAGGGCTGGGCCGAAAGTTTCTGGATATGTTGCAGAAGGCTAGCTGAAAAACACACTCCAAACCCATTTATGCTTTTAATTAAAGTCAGATTATCACTGTTTCAGCACACACTGATCCAATTTGCAAAAGAAAGATCTCCCCAAATTATCCACTAAGGCAGCATCCAATTCCAACTGAAGGCACATCTCTAGCAAACTTACAGCCTAATTCATTACGATTTTTTTTTTCAGATTATAATAATGAGCAGTAGACCGTCTCATTAGCTATTTTCCTCCCCAGGCTGCAAACTCCATTCCCAAAAAAGACAGATCGTGTCTTTCTAGGTATATTTCCATACAAAACACTTATTAACAGGCTGTTGCTGTTATCACTTTACATAAACTAAATGTGCAGCCCTCTGGTACATATCCCAAAAATAACCAACAACTTCACTGAATTTATACCAACCAACAAACATGGGGAGGGGGTTGTTGTTTTTTCCCATATTTTAATAGAAAATATGTTGCTATGTTAGTTAACACACCCATGCCATCTGTTGGGTTGAGAATTGATGCATTTTCTTACAACCACTACATTTTAGATCTGTCTGCCTAGATACCCCAGGAATGGAAACGTTTCCCTTCCACGATAAAATACTTGTAGTCACTATAGCTTCCACATCAGGATTTAATTTATGTTTTTAATTGTGAGACAAACTGAGAGGACCTGGTTGCCAAAGTCAGAGCTCGTGAGGGGTTTGACTCGGTGCCTACCCTTCCTATGACGGAGAAAATCCCACCGATGTTAGTGGGGTATATCAGGCCCCCAGCCAGGCTTCCAATAAAACATTTGATGGGTAAATAAAAAAATGCACTAAAACCTCTGACTAAATGTACTAAAAACATGGAGGAAAGGGAGAGCCCTTTCTGCCTTATTATGCAGTGAAATGTAGATACTGTTCTTATTGTAGGATCCACATGAAAAGCTAAAATTTTAAGCTAGGTGAACTACTTCTACACCGTAATAGAGAAAAAAGTAACCCTTGATAGAATAAGCTCTTTATAGCAGTAGACTCAAGAATAAACACATTTTCCAAACTGTATGTAAAGTCCCTGCCAAGAATGGTCAAACTAGAATTTTTAAGGAAAGGTGAAAACAATTATTTACCCTGTTCTTCACACAAGAACTGCAACATCAGATAATACTCTGTCATGACTGAATAGCTGATAAAGAAATAAACCTGATTGCTGAGGGCACGATTCCATCCCCAGGTAGCTTGGGATGGTGGTATCCCCATTGGGTCCCACGTGGGTTGGGTTCTTTATCAAAATGAACGAGAGAGAAAGACAACAGAGAGCTTCCATGGTAAATGGTGATATAATTAAAATATACTAAATTTGCAACTCGTGCTAGAAAACTGACTGGAAAAAAAACCAAACGTTGGTCAGGGTGGCTACTTTAGCATCCCTTCTGTTGGACTCAGAGGAGGACACGGGAAGATGTTCATTACCACGCACAGCTATGCCAAGTGGAGAAGATAAAGGTTTCAGTGACGCAGCACCGCCGACAAATCCACCGCCACCGAGACACACAGGCACTGAAATTAAAGACGCGTGCTGCCGGCTCGATTGGCACCCATTAAACCTAATAACTAACCATCCTCACGAGTTCCTAGCTCTGAATTATCAAATCTGCAAAGAAAACAACATCCGTCCACTTTTACACTCCAGTGGAAGAGGTGGTCCCTCGCGGCAGGGCTGCGCAGTCTCGCCATCTGGAGAATAAATCGAGTGTGAAGTACAGTATAGTTTGGGACCAAGCTCCGTGGCGGCAGCCCAGCAGTTAGTTCATTAGTCCCAAACTTGCGGGGATTAGTGCGGTATCAGCTCTACTGTCGGATGGGATCAGGCAGGCAGAGCGCAAGACTCAGGGATGGGGTGGTGGTGGAGGAGGAGCCCCTCGGCCTTATTTATAAAACTACAACGTAAAAGTGCACCTAAATAGGTGCCTTTGGTAACATACTATCATAGTCTCCTGCCAGCTGAATCAGTACCTTTCCTTCTTTTCTTTTTTTTCCCCCCTTTTTTTCTTTAAGTTGTATGTCAAGACATAGAAATTTCAAAACAGAAGGAATGCCACAGAGCTGGAAGCTCAGCCACCCACTCACCCTGGACACAGTGTTAATACAGCAATAGCAAAACAAAGATGGTCAAATTAACAGAATTTTGGGGACTGCAACAGCAGGCAGAAAAATGATATTTTCTCCTTTCTTTTCAAACTGGTACGATACCCCACAAATCACTTCTCCAACACTGATTGCTAGACCTGCCTGATTTTGGGGACAAAATCTGTTTTGCTTTATCTTTCTTGCCTAGTCTTACCCCCTTTTTTTTCTCAAGACCTTCAGGTCTTCATGTAAAGATAATGGGTATAGATAAAGATATGTTTATGTGTAGATCTCATCCTATTAACATCTTTTGGTAATAATTCTTCATATGGAAATGTAAATACATGATGCGCTAAAATGGCAGGCCAGAATCTATCATCCTCATTGCCATAATAAGTTTGCATGTTTCAAATGGCAGAGGAAAAATTAATTACTATAATCACAATTCAAGTTATTTTTTGTGACAGGTCTGACATTGTAAAAACATACAATTATGTGTTAATGTTACTTCCCTGGAGTGGTTTGTTTACAGGACTTGACATCGCTGAATCTTTTGTCACTTATATTAGTGCATACCCTACGAACGCATCTCTCAAATAAGATTTTGCAGAAGCGCACGTATATTATATACCCACAGCGGTTTTTGGGCAAAATTGAGTTCCTGTGGAGGGAAAGCCTGACATTTTTTACATGCTTCATTCTCTGTCAGTGAAGTGATGCCATCCAGAATGATACTTCATTTAGTTTCAAATTCGCAGATGAGATTGGCAAGAGAAAAGACAAATTGCATTTGTTTTTAAGGGAACAAAGAGAGTCCTAACCGCTGAGCAGAGCGTTTCTGAGAACAGGAGGCGCCTGGTTCACCAGACCTGCCTTCTACCTTGTGCGCATCGGGTACTTGCGAGAATAAATCTTTGAAATGGCAAATACTTATTTCTGGTTAGTCTTGTTAGACTGAAAAACTGCTGTAAAAAATGCACGCATCGCAAAGCCTTCAGGAAGCTGTTGTTAAATCATTTCTTTTAGTTACCTTTGAGCAGATAAAATCAGCTGAGGAGCTTTTAAAGACTTCTGAAGTTCTAAAGCACGTTTTCTTTTGGTTCAACAGGGAACGCGCCAGCCCTACCATGTAATCCTAAAGGAAAGAAGGGGCAGGAGTGGGGAGGAGGAGGGTGAATAAGGCCTCCATCGTGGATGTCGGTGTTTCTCCCTCTGCAGTTCAGGCAAATGGATGTTTTAGAGCACTCTAAGATTCTGATTTTTCTGCTACTCTTTCCTGAAATTGTTGAATTCTTTCTTGAATAATTATTTGGTCTGTTCAAGCCTTTTCTTTTTTTATACCAACCTTTTCACTTTTCTGAAAGAGAGATCCTTCATGCCATAATGAGTCATCTAACTCTGTGCATCTCTAGCATCTGCTGCTTTTCTCTCTGCTCTGCTAATTGTCTTTACATGCAGTACATGGCCTAGCAACACTAAAACGAAGCAAACTTTGGTGGCCAGCATTATGAACTAGGCTGCAATTTAATTATGCTCTGCTGAGGAATCTTAATTTCTTTGCCCATTTTACTAGAACTTTTACTTAAGGTCTAGGAACGCATCAGTGTGCCTAGTGACAATAGATAACCTGTATTTTTAAGGGACAAGATCTCTTAAAGCTGTTTATGAATAGCTGGGAGCTGCTTGCTGCCATGCAAGTTTAGCAAGCCTCTCCCTCTCTCTACCAGCTTGGCCAATGTGGAGCCTGAAGATATCAGGTGGGGCCTATCCAACCTCATCAGAGTTGGACAATTTCCATATGTGATGGCCTGGCTTGAGATGATGTGAACGTGGGGAACCAGAGAAGAAACCAAGGTCCACCCAGCTGGCAGTCCAGGACCCACAAAGCCCCATAAATCTTTACGGGTGCTCAGCTGTGTAAGCACCGCGTTTCTGCTGGGCCGCGGCATCCCAGGATGCGTAGTGCAAGAGCAAGACATTTTCACAAGTTGTGTTCGAGATATTTTTCTGACTTGCATGTATCTCATAGAAATTTAAATAGAGGCCAGTAGGCTGCTAGAATGAATTGGCACATAGAATATTCATGTAATATGAGGACTTAGCATAAATATTTCTGTAGCAAAAATAATACAGCATGGGGTGTGTGTATACATAAACACAGAGACAGGCTTATACCTTAAGACTTGTGTGTACAGAAATATTTCAAAAGGTTTTTTAACGACAGTACTATATACAACAGCTTCAAAAAAGAAAATTTTGTTCATGAACGTAGGCAGCTATTCTGTCTGCCAACTTTTATAAACACTTACAAAAGAGATGTAAACAACCTTTCAATTAAGACAAATCAAGCTAACGCTAATTTAAGCTGGCTGCAAGACGTAGCCTCTTTACTTTTTTTCCCTGGCTTTCTGAGGATGCTTTTGGTTTTGTGACAGATTAGCATCACAAATGAAAATTCTTTAGAAGCATTAGTGTTAATTAGTCTTCCTGGACAGTTCAAGTGAGCTGCTGCACGATGAAATGAGACCACAAAATATTCAATCTGATGTATCAATTAAAAAAAAAAAAGGCTACACATTTCTTTCATCTGGCACATGAATTTAACTGTATGTTATGCTTCTTCTGTATTTTAAAATATTCTAGTTTAAGATGTATTTTCTTGGTATGATGTAATAAATTATTATGGAACATGCATACATTTAGGCATCTATTTTTTATCTCTATAAATAAAACTTTTTATTAATGCTGATAATGAAATACATTGCTGTCTGTCAAAAGTACATCTGCTTTAACAAATCACCAACCCCTATTCAGTGACTGATTTCAGGTGTGGTGATTCTAAGTGAGATACGGATCAAATGTTTTGAAGATCGGCAAACAGGTACCATCAGAAGTGCCGTTTAATTACTGCCTCAGTTATTTAGTAAATTATTCGAAAAAAAAATAAAGCCAAATGAGGTAAACATTAAACAGTGTGGAAAGTAAAAGGCAAGCTAGAGGCAAATAAAAGTTTATCAGAAAGAAAACAACTGGCCAGAGGCTTACGCCTGCTTGTACCGAAGGAGCCAGTGTCGACCAAGCCCATCAGCGATGGCGGTAGCACCTCTGGGGTAACGTATTTAAGAAGGAAAAAAAAAAACCCTGCTGCAGAACAGTAGCCATAGAGAGAGAAATGAGAGGATGTGAGAGGAACAGCCCTGCAGACACCCAGGTCAGTGCAGAAGGAGGGGGAGGAGGTGCTCCAGGCGCTGGAACAGAGATTCCCCGGCAGCCCGTGATGAAGACCGTGGTGAGGCAGGCTGTCCCCCTGCAGCCCAGGGAGGACCCGACGCTGGAGCAGGTGGATGCCTGAAGGAGGCTGTGACCCCGTGCGAAGCCCACACTGGAGCAGGCTCCTGGCAGACCTGCAGACCCGTGGGGAGAGGAGCCTAGGCTGGAGCAGGTTTGCTGGCAGAGCTGGTGGCCCTGCAGGGGACCCATGCTGGAGCAGTCTGTTCCTGAAGGACTGCACCCCATGGAAGGATATTAGGAAAAACTTCTTCACTGAAAGGGTTGTCAGGCTCTGGAATGGGCTGCCCAGGGAGGTGGTAGAGTCCCCATCCTTGGAGGTATTTAAAAGAAGGATAGATGAGGTGCTTAGGGATATGGTTTAGTGGTGGGATGGCAGGGTTAGGTTAACGTTTGGACTCGATGATCTTAAAGGTCTTTTCCAACCAAAGCGATTCTATGATTCTATGATTCTATGAGTCCTCCCCTGAGGAGGAAGAAGTAGCAGAAACTATGTGTGATTAACTGACTGTAACCTCCATCCCCCATCCCCCTGTGCCACTTGGCGGGGAGGAGGGAGAGAAAATCGGGAGTGAAGTTAAGCCTGGGAAGAAGGAAGGGGTGGGGAGGAAGGTGTTTTAAGATTCAGGGTAATTTTTTTATCCTTTCCTACTCTGATTTGATTGGTAATCAATTGAACTAATTTCACCAAGTTGAGTCTGTTTTGCCCATGATGGTAACCGGTCAGTGATCCCTCCCTGTCCTTATCTTGACCCATGGGCCTTTTGATATTTTTCTCTCCCCTGTCCTGTTGAAGAAGGGAGTGATAGAGCGGCTTTGGTGGGCACCTGGCATCTAGCCAAGGTCAACCCATAACACTGCCCCAAGCTGCTCAGAAGCCCCTAGGAATGAAGAAAGTGTTAAGAAAAATCAGGTCAGCTGTGCCATGGCTTCCTTCATCCTTCCTCTTTTCTGGAAGAAACTTTTCCCAGTCTACCCACGGTCTCAGTAAAACTGGGTGTTTCAAAGAGAAAAGTTGGAAGAACTGTGCATGGTATTTGGTATTGTGCAAATACCGATTAACAGCTCTTATCTCAGTTTTCGTAAAGTGCTTTACTTGCATTGGTAAATTAGCAAATTAATATTCTGTAATGTGATAAAAATCCCACAGAATTCCCCAAGTCCAAGTGCTTACAGGTCATGGCCACAGTAAAATCATACTGGTGCAAAAAAACTCTCACCTCATCCTTTTCAACTGAAATTTTAAAGTGAAGTGCTGTCACCTTGCAGATGCATGTGTTTCCACGCAATGGGTTTAGCACGTGATTTATGACACCAGCTGGTCACTCAGGTGTCATACGCTGAGCAAGGCACCCCCAGGAAGCCCTCCCACCAGGTGGGTTTTTGCACCGTCTAGAGAGGAATTAAACCTTCTCATCTCATGGGCAGCTTTTTAAAGCAGAGATTATCTCATGCGGTCCTGTGCTCCCTTGTGACATCACGCCATTTGTTTCAATTTCTGTTTATGGACCCCCTAAGAAAAATCTATACCATGAGAGAACTTAGCTCCCAGCTTCACCTGAAGATCTTGGGCCCCAACTGCCCACAAAGAACAACTTCTTATTTACATCCAGGCTCTCCTTTGGGGTAGTGAATCATCTGTTTCCTCCAAATCAAAACAAAACTGTGATTTTAGAGATGGGTCCAAAGGGCTCAAAGGGCAGTATGGGCAGGACTGCACCAAGTTCAGCTGCCTCCACCCTGTCCTGTCCCGTGATGTTGCTCCAGCAAGGCCTGTGGTACCTCCAAACACTCACACCTGCCATCTTGTCATGCCCCAGGGCATGCAACACATATCCTCAGCTAAAGGTTAAAAAAACCCCACGTTGATATGGCCTGCTGCTCATATTATTTCAGCTGCTGGAACTGAAGAAAAACCACCCAGAAAAACAATTGCACCGTAGGTCCATCAGAGCCCCACTCTCTGTCATGGGAGATCTAGACCCACGTGCTACGTATCTGTCAGTCTGCTCTAGAGGTTTGCCCCTATGCAATGTGAACATGAGCCCCCCTGCCCCACTAGGTGAGGGCACCAGGGATCTCTCCTTGGATCAGATGCATTTAGCATTGTAGAAGTAGCCTATAATTGCAGTAATTACTTCCATGGGAGAATAACATTAGGAGAGCATGAACATAATTTTAGATGTTTTTAAGTTTAGAAGCTTGAAAGAAGTAGATGCCAGGAGCACTGAATAGATAGCTCTCCACAGGAATGTTCAACACAGGAAACTTTGATCTAACAAGCTTCACACTAAACTGACACAACTCTTGCCTTCCCGCAAAGCAAACTTGTTTTATACATGTATTTCTCAGCCAGTGCTTACCTTAACAAAGGACCACCTCACTACACTGGGTTTTGCAAGAAATCCTTCTTTTCTCTACCAGAAAGGTTTCCATCTCATAGAGATCCCACTTGGATGGGTGCCTGGGGTGAGTCAAGGAACCCAAACATCCCACTCCACCCCAAATGCAGGTTTTAGCACCTCCTGTAGGCAACATTTTCTCAGATGCTCCTAATGACGTGACGAAGCCTGTTACAGCTTGCTGTTCACTCTTGGCAGAGTCCCTGAAGGATGGGCAGCGATACAAAAGCAGCTGCACCCCCTTCTTTCCACCCCCACATCCCTGAAGTGGGAGAGGGGAAACAGCACCAGAATGCCATGTCCCGCACGTCCCTGCATCGGCAGTGACTAGCTGAGGCAGGAACTGAGCCCTCATGTATAAAATAAGATCAAGTCTATGACTCATGTACTTATGGCAAGGAGTAAGGACCTTTTAGAAATGACGTCACTTGTTTTCCATGGTCTAAACCAAACACGACAATGTGAATTTTTCCCTACCTAGACCTAAGATCCATTAAAGAACTGAAATTTTTCTCCCGTTTGAAAGTGGGACCTGAGGGGGTGATTATTTTCTAGGTCAAATCTCCCCTGTGTCAATCCTATGGTTGTAGTACGGTATTTGTGCATCACTGATAGATGTATTGTACTGGTACGAGATAATACACTGCTTTATAGACATGCAGAGAGGAAATCTTAATTGTTTATTGGTGTTCTTCAAAACCTTTTTAAGTTCCTCATTTAGATATTCCTGATTGCAGAGGAACAAATTACTGGAACTCATGACATTTCCTTCCCCAAGTTTTTCTTCAACTGTACTTTTTCCTGATGAAATCAACTACTTTTAATGCCAGGCTGACTGAGAAGGTGCTCCTTAGCGGGGCTTCTGGAATATCTGTAAAGTTTAAAGTTAAGGTTGGCACATATTCCCCAATAAAAGGATAAGATAAATCAGTGTATGTTTATTTCTGCAAGATCTAAGCAGTTTCTATCCGCTTCTACTTATTCCCACTCCATGCCCCATTTTTCACTCCATGCAAGCATTTCCACTGCAACTGTTTCTTGAGCCCAGATGCAAACTGGACCACAGTAGAAAAACTCAGGTTTATTTTATTTCTGGGTGGGAGAGTAGGATTTTTTTTTAACCCAGATCATTTCAGCAGTCCCATTTACAGCACGGCCATACAAACAATTGCATCACTGCAAGCAAGGGGCTTCCAAAGGATGACAACAAGCAGCTAGGAAGGGCAACATGGAAAGAGGAAATTCTTGAGCTGCTTTTGTTTTTTCCACCAGAGCCAACCAGCTAAGCACCCATCATTTCACATGTTTTGCATTAATGAGGAGAGTAGCAAGTACGATTCAGGCAAATGCCTGCATTCCCCAAACAACCATCACTACAAGCCCCCATTCTTACATCCGTATGTACTTACTCCTAACATAGCATAACTTTACTCCTAACTCCTCAGCATAGCCGACTGGGGCATCGGGAAGCAGGGCACCGGGTTAAAGCATCAATGACTTGACTAACACAGCTTTTGCCTTCCATTAGCTTGCTCCCTTCATAACATTTAGACATTAGGAAAAAATTCTTCACAGAAAGGGTTGTCAGGCACTGGAATGGGCTGCCCAGGGAAGTGGTTGAGTCCCCATCCCTGGAGGTGTTTAAAAAACAGGCAGATGAGGTGCTTAGGGACATGGTTTAGTGGTGGGATGGCAGGGTTAGGGTAATGGTTGGACTTGGTGATCATAAAGGTCTTTTCCAACCTAAACGATTCGATTCAATTCGATTCTAGTCTAGTCTAGTCTAGTCTAGTCTATTCTTCCAGGCCTGAACATGCAGACTCCTTCACCCGTATTTCCCCTACCTACTGTTAGAGCTGTCCAAGTCCAAATCCAACATGGATTTCATCCACTTCAAGCAGTCTGTCAGTCTTTAAGCTCAAATTCTTTACATCTGGCTTATCTGGTACTTTCTCTCACTTTTTTGGACAATGGCTCTGCCAAATGCAATGTTGATAAAAGACTAATAAGATGGCTTCAGCTTTGGACCATTTCTCAACACACATAATAAGTGCTGGGGCTAGCCTGGACCCTGCCTTTGTACTGATTTAACTACTTTGAATTTAGTTAACACCAACAACATTAAGCTGACGCTAAGCTTTGGCATGCATCTGTTCTCCAAAGTGCTGCTAGCAGTATGGTTTATTTTCTTGTGTGAATGAACTACATGGACGACCAGGATTTTATAACAGTATAATTGCATTCATACAGTACTGCTGCTTTGGTTTTATTCTATTAATTTTAAACCAATAGTGATAAAATGGAATTCAGTATTCACAAGTTTGACACCCATTACATTACCATTTTTGTTCATGGTATCCTAACTTGCTTGTGTTGTGTAACTGTCTGGTCTAAATATGTATTTAGCAATTTTTGTCCCTTTGACTTGATATGAATCTCCTTCTTGATCTGAATGAAGGATTGCCAAAAGAGATTCATGAAAATGTGTCCTACTTACCTAACAAACTCTTTTTAAGGGAAACCGTTCTGCTTTACTTGTTAAACGTGTTTACGCTTTTTGACTGCCACGGTAATAATGTGTTTTGTATTGAGACCAGAAGGTTGTTTTTCCCCCAGAGCACTCAGAGATGTCTTCTCCAGCCAGAATACCCACTCCCATCACCTGCAGCAGGTGCAGGTTAACCCTAGCGGGACTCAGGTGATGCTCCCTTCCCTTTGCTTGGCAGTGGCTGCTTCCTCCACTGCCAGCTTGCCACTGAGCATCGTGTCCATCTGGCAGCCACCCCTACAACCTCCGGAAGCTCGACGGCTCCGTTTGTTTATTCCAGCTGGGCACCGAGGCACCATCCCTGCCAGTGTGTTTGTGGTGCTTGTGCTGGTGTGTGGTGATGGACTCCGCAGGCTGTTCAGATCCTGTGCTAGTTAATGTGTCTTTGCTTTCACTTGGGATGGGGCTATGGCCACTACAGTCCGCGGCGGTCCTCACACCGCTTGTCAAGGGTTTGCTCTACATCTTGAGAACTTCATTTATTTTCTGAGGGCAAAACACACAGTAACATCAGTGCTCTCCGGCTTTATCTGTTGGCGAGTTCCCTACCCATTTCTCTTCCCATTCTTCCATTTGGCATGCAATCGTCAATAAATTTCTTAGGAAGTCTCCTCTTTAGAGGCAGTGGGTTTCTGCAGCACAGGTGCAGGAACAAGTCTGCTGTCCCTCTTGAGCCCACTGGACTACTCAATGTCTGAGGGCGCTGTACCAGGTACAACATTACCAGAAAACTTATAAAGTGTGTATTTTACCGAAGACTCTTTCTTTTCTGGTTCCTCATTCGATCTATCACCGTCCCCAGTGGGCTTCAGAGAGAGTCACAGAATCACAGGATGGCTGAGGTTGGGAGGGACCTCTGGAGGTCATCTTGCCAACCCCCTTCCTCAAGCAGGGCCACCCAGAGCCAGTTTCCAGGACCATGTCCAGAGGGCTTTTGAATATCTCCATGGATGGAGACTCCACAACCTCTGGGTAACCTGTGCCAGTGCTCAGTCACCCTCACAGTAAAAAAATGTTTTCTGATGTTCAGAGGGAACCTTCCATGTTTCAGTTTGTGCCCATTGCCTCTGGTCCTGTCACTGGGCACCACCGAGCAGAGCCTGGCTCCCTCCTCTTGGCACCCTCCCCTCAGGTATTTACATACATTGATGAGATCCCCCCAAGCCTTCTCTTCTCCAGGCTGAACAGTCCCAGCTCTCCCAGTCTCTCCTCATAGGAGGGGTGCTCCAGTCCCTTCATCATCTTTGTAGCCCCTCGCTGGACTCTCTCCAGTATGTCCACGGCTCTCGTGTACGGAGACCTCTGTCATTCTCTTCCAAATGATTTGCAAGGTTTAGAAGTCCTCTCTGCTATTTGTCAGAAGTCTTTAAGCATATTAAAACTGTCTACTTTTTTTAATTTTTGAAAAATGTTAAGATCTATTTAAAAAAACATTACTGGTATTCAGAACTCCAGTTTATTTATTCATATTATTTTTTAAAAAATTCCTATGTCCCTTCATGTTCTCAGCATCACCTTTTCCAATACAATTCTCATTTCCAACTGAGTGATTTGATTTTTCTTTAAGATAATTTTTCATCTGTTGCTTATTTGGCTTTATTTCTTCTTGACCAGGTTTCACAGCTTCAGATTCTGTGTTGGCAGTTTCTTGGCCAGTTTTCCTTTCCTGTTGACCAGATATAATCTCTGCCAGTATGGAAGCTAAGTCCTCTATCACTGGCCAAGCAAGAATCAATCATGCTGAATCTTACTAATACAAATCTACACTTAACACAAATGTGATCCTCTTGGGAATTATCATCCACCCTAACATAAACTTTGTCACATTTTATGAATGCTTATGAATATTAATTAATTATTCTAGCCCACTTACATGCATGTTTGCAAATAGATGGCTATCAGGATAATTAAAATAGCAAGACGGGAGGAGCAAAATGGCTTCAGTTTAACAGCTGTATAAATATATATATTTAAGAACACTGCTTCTGCCCATGTTTCTCAGGATGGGTCGCTGTTCGACTCCATATGCATGTGGACCTACTTTCCGGCTGTTCTAGTTTCAGGTCTATATCGCGGAATCGCTGCAGAGCCGCAGGCAGGTTGAACCCCATTGTCCTCTGGACCATTCAGGCTTAGCACAAACGCACAATCTAGCGACGAGAGCTTTCACTCAGCCAATTCTGCGCGCCCAGAAGTTCAGCTCAGCTTTTTCATCCCGAACAATGGGGAAGCAA